TAAGCTGGGAATAAGTTGGGGAAAAAAGGAGCAAAAGACTCGAATATTTCTCCAAAGAAGACATAAAAGCATCAACAGATACAGCAAAGGATGCTTAGTATCTCTAACCATCAGGGAAATGCAAATCAAACCTCAGTGAGATGCCTCCTTGCACCTGCAAGGATGGCCTTATAACAAAACAAAATAGAAAAGAACAAGTGTTAGTGGGGACATGGAGAAATTGGAACCTTTGTATACCATTGATAGGAACATAAAATGGTTTTGCTGCTATGGAAAACAGCAGCAAAATAAAACCATGCCAAAAACCAGTGACTCACACCTGTAATCCTAGCTACTTAGGAGGCAGGGATTAGCAGGATTGTTGTTCAAAGCCAGTCCAGGCAAATAATTCATCACACCCTATCTTGAAAAACCTAACACAAAAAAGGGGCTGGTGGAGTGGCTCAAGTGGTAAGAGCACTTGACTAGCAAGTGTGAGGCTGTGAGGCCCTGAGTTCAGACCTAATGGCACCAAAAAAAAAAAAAAGCTTAGTATGTGAGCCAGGAATCCTACTTTTAGGTATTTAACAAAAGAATTGAAGAATTGAAATCAAAATTTCAAAGAGATATTTGTACTCCCATGTTCGCTGAATCATTATTCACAATAGTCAACCTAAATGTCCATCCAAGGTGAATGGATAAAGAAAACGTGGTATATGCCTACAATGGAATATTATTTAGTCACAAAAAGAAGGAAATCCTCTCATATGCTACAATGTGGATAAATCTCAAGCCTTCCTTAGCATAAATAAAATAAGCTAGTCACAGAAGGACAAATACTGCATGATTCACTAATGTGAGGAATTTAAAATAATCAACTCATCAAAGCAGAAAGTAGAATGGTGGTTGCCAGGGCCTGGAGGGAGGGAGAAAAAGAAAGTTGCTGTTCAATGGGTGTAAAAATTCAGTCATGCAAGATGAAGTTCTAGAGCTCTGACATAGAATACTGTGCTTGTAATTAACAAAACTGTAGTATATGCTTAAAAATCTGTTAAGAAGGTAGGTCTCATATTGTGTTTTTACCACAATAAAAATAAAAATAAAAATGAATGCACCTCACAATAACAATCACAGAAATGCAAAGAAAAACTTATCACCTGTCAAATTAGTAAGGGATTTTAAAATGCTGGTGAAGTTCCCTGAGGCAGGCTTTCATTTATTGCTGGTTCAGTATAAATTAGCAGGCACAATCATTTTGAAAAATGCTTTGGAAACATACATTAAAAGATCTTATGTTTATACCCTTCAATGCAATGATTTTACTTGCAGAAATCCGTATTCATGGAATATTAGCAAATGTAAATATGGTTTTTACTTATAACAGCAAAAATTAGAAATCTTCCAAATGTTTCATAAGACTAATAAATGTTGATACTTATGATCAAAACCCAAAAATGTTTATGAGGTCTTAGTGACAAGAGAAAATTGTTCACAATACAATATTAAGTGAAAAAATATTAAGTGAAAAAAGATTAGAGGTAATTTCATACAGATTATCACATGTCAAATAAAAGAAATAACATGAAGGAAATACACAGAAATGATAGAGTCGTTTCTGCTTAAGATTATGGGTGATTTAAAGTGAGGATGTGGGCTGGTGGAGTGGCTCCAGTGGTAAGAGCACCTGCTTAGCAAGCACAAGGCCCTGAGTTCAAACTCCAGTGCTGCAAAAAAAATTAATAAAATAAAATAAAACAAGTGCTGTTTCTGTTTCCCTCAAGTTTTCCAAACTTTTGACAAAGAACTCCTATTACTCTTTTAATCAAAAAACAAAGAACAAAAGATACAATTTAAAAATAAAATGTAATTTCAGGTTCCACAAAATATTTTGTGATCAGCCTGTCCAAATATATATTTGAGTATCTACTTGCTCTTCAGTCTTTGTCCACATTAATATGTGAGATAAAATGTAATGACCAAAAAATTAGATTCTTCATTCTAGAAATACCAGGAGGTATCTGATTTCACTTAAGGTATGGTTAAAACGATTTTTTTCCTTTTTTACTAAATCCTTTTAATTCTAAAATAAAAAAGGTAGACACATCAGAGAAAGAATGTATTACATTATTTGTCTGCATAGTAAACATATGGATTCCGATAGCTCAAGAAGTAGCAAGTCCCCGTGGGATACCGGGGGTCACTCTCTTTAGGACAGTGGTCTGGGGGAGGACACAAATGGCATGACCAGCAGGAAGGGTAGCTGCCTGTCCTGGCAGCAAAGACATCCAAACCCACCTTGGTTTTCAGTGGATTGGCAGATGGTATAGCCAGACTGTCCCACCAACCTGGAGCTACCATAAAGCAATTACATTCAAGAGGGGACAAACTCATGCTACATCACATTCCTAATATTAGCTGAGATGGTGGGGGTCATGACTTAAGCTAATCAGCTTAAGTTGTGAGCAGATAACTGACAGGAGATGGGCAGAGAAAGGTGCAAACTGGTTCTTTAGGGACACAAACGCCCACACTTGGAGAAATTCAAGTTCCCCACTGCTGTCCCAGCTCTACTATTTGGTCCTACTTGAAAGTGTACTTTCACTCATATATGTTTCCCTGAAATCAGAGGAAGCAAGCTTGGAGATGTTGGGTACTATCTAGAAGTCATGTGGTTTTGGTGGGCCCATGCTGAGTTTAAAGAAAAAAAAAAAACCTTGAAGTAGTTGCTGGAAGTTCAAAATTGGGAGATTTGGCATAATCAGGATTCAAAGCTTTTTAAAAAACAGTGTTTAAATCTAGCAAGAGTGAGCTATCATTGTCACATGGCAGCAATCAGCTGATACCTTTGGATGGCACAGGCCATCAGTGTGCCACAACTGGCTCTCAGTCCATTTGCTTATTTGGATTTTCAAGCCTGGCACCCGTAATTATCCCTGACCGGGGATCAATAGAATTACTCTTATCAGTGGGAAGCTTTCAGGGCTCACAGTGACTGACAGAAACGATCTATTTACAAGCCCTGAGCTGCCTAGGATCAAAAGCTTCCACTGATACAAAAACTCAAGCAATGCTACCTGTAAGTAACTTTGATAAAGACAGACCTGATTAAGCACTATAAACACTTTCAAAGGCACACTGGGAGATTAGAAAGGTGCCCTTTTGCAAGTCTGGGGTGTCCTGGGCAGTTAGCTAGAATGGGAGCTCTTTCCACGAAGGTTGGGACATCCTGTGAGAAACTCTCAGCCTAGTGTTCGGAACTTAGTAGGAGGTTAATAAAATTTGTTTCCATCTCCCTAACAACAGATGTGGAGCACAGCAAGGAAGAAATGGAGCCAGAACAGTGTAAAGCAAGGCACAAAAACACAGCGTGCCAACAGAGAAGGAGGTAATTGTAGCCTAGAGATCAATAGCAGCAGTAGAAGAGAAGTTAGAGTGACAGAGCCCTACTATAGTAAGAGACAGTGTAACTGCAGCATGATTCTGATACATCTGGGACAGTCACACATCTGGTGAACAGGAGAACAGCACAGATGAAGGCAACATGAATCAAGGAGAAATTCAGAGAGAAAATTCAACCCCTTTAGTGAAGGATTGTTAGTTAAAACCATAATGAACTTTTCATAACATACAAAAATGCAGAACACATGTAAAACATGCAGGGTAACTATTCAGTTGAAGTATCAAATTTCCCAAATTAGCAGAAGTAAGTTAACTGTTAATAAAATTTATTTTTGGCTTATCAGTAGTGCGGCTTTTGTTATTTTATTTCTAAAGCCTCAATTCAAAAAAAAAAAAAAAAAAAGGTTGGTCACTAACTGAAGTACAATTACCAGAAGCATCTTGTCACTATAGTAATAACCTGTCAGAGAATGTTACACTCAGCGTGCCGAACAGCAGAATGGAAGGTTACAAATGCAATTATTTCTTTTTTGGCCCCTTACTCAGGGTCATAGCCAATCAGTCGCTGTTTATAGATAGGGTAGCTTTTGCAGTATTTATTTCTTTAAATATTTAACAGTCTTGAGAGGCACTGACAGGCAGTAATACGTAGCGTTTCTAGCATGTTGCCAGTGTGTAATGAATGTTAGAATAATAAAATCCTGTATGATGAAAAACAGCAGTCAGTGAAACTATTACAGTCTACAATATTTTAAAGCCATAGTAGTAACTTTAAAAAAAAAGTATAAAAACCATGGTAATAAAGGAACATTTGTATTCACAAAAAAAGAAAAAATCCACCCAGGTAATTTCCTCTTAAATTTCTTAGGGGATTGAAAGAAGGCACTGAGAAAGTGGGTAAAGCATGGATTAAAAAAACCAACCTTTTAAAAAGTCATGTGGAGCTTGTCGACAAACAGGAGTAGCTACATCCTGTTACAATGGTGGTGGGGAGCTCCGAGTGCCTTCGAAACTCCCTGTTCCCGAGCCCCAAGGAGCAAATCCCTCAATTTCCTAGCCACTTTCTAGCTTTGAAGGATTTGGGGTTTTGTGCCACACTCATAGAGGTAAGCCAGGACACAGACACGGGAAAGGCAAACGCTCTTACATACAGAGGAAGTTCTTTATTTGCATCTGAGTAAGTGGAGACACACAAGCTAGGCTGGGGAACCTTGATCTCTGCGCTTCCAGGGTCCCCCCGAGCAGGCGGGGGCGCGCAGCCCAAGGGCTGAGGACCCCGCGCTCCAACTTTGGGGGAGGAAGTGGGGAGAAAAATAGAGCTGCTCCTTTAAGGACTTCCCTTCCCTTTTACTCTATGTTTACATAACACGGGGCCGGTCCTCCGCCGGCTGAGGGGGCGGGAGGGGCGCGGGGGGGGGGGCGGGGAGGAGGGGGAGGGGCGCGGCGCGCGCGGGCAGCTCCCACCTGCCCGGCCCCGGGACGCTCGGCTGGGCCCCCGCCCTGGCTCGCTCCTTCGCTAGCTCCCTCCCTCCCAGGCTCGCTCTCTCCCTCCCTCCCTCCCTCCCTCGCGCGGGGCTCCGGCGGCGCTGAGCGCGTGCAGGTCCCCCAGCCGCCGGTCGCATTTGTTGCCGGCTCTGACTCGGGGCGGCCGCGGCGCGCGGAGCTCCGGGGAGCCGGGGGCAGCCGCGCAGCCACAACGGAGCAGCCGCGGGACTGGCCGCCCCGCGCCCCCTTCGCCGCCGTGCCGTTCCCCGGCGCGCTCACCCCGTTCTCGGGATGGGATTGTAGCGGCGGCGCGGACTCGGCGGCGGCGGCGGCGGCGGAGGCCGAGCGGGGCTCCATGTTTTCCCCCGGCCAGGAGGAGCCCAGCGCCCCCAATAAAGAGCCCGTGAAATACGGAGAGCTGGTGGTCTTGGGGTGAGTGCAGGGGATCCCCGGGCAGCGGAGCTACAGGGTGGCTCAGGGTTGGGGGGCGTTGTGGGACCGCTGGGGCGCGAGGGCGACTCGGAGGCCGGGATGCTCGGTCCCCAACGGAGGAAGTGGTGGCGGCGGCGACTCCGGCCACCCCGCGGGGACCGATCGGGTCGTCCGTCCTGCCCCGGGGTAGGGGCCCCACTTTTCCTGGGCTTCGGCCGCGCCTCCCGGGGGCTGAGGAGGGCGCTCGGGCATCTCGAGGGGTCTCTTCCAGAAAGCGGGAGGCCAACCGGCAGCGGCCCCTGAGGGCCCTCTGTCCGCTGCGGACCGTGGGCCCTAAGTCCCCGAACCTCCAGCTGAGAGCCGGGGCCGCCACGGGCCGCGGGGTCCTCGGGCTGCGCTTTGCGCATTGTTATGGTGGCCGCCACGGGCAGTGAACTGTCTGTGACCTAGGCGGGCCGGCTGGCCTCTGCTCCTCCCCCCAACCCGCCGCGGGTGACCCCGAGAGGAGCGGCGGGGACACGACCGCATCTGGCCCGGACCCCCGCACCCCGCGGGTGCCGTCCCTTCGGACGACTGGGCAGCAGAGAGGAGCTCGGCAGCCCGCCCGCCTCGGCTCCCTCTCCGCGGGTGCAAACCACATTTGGAAGATAGTAATTATCTCCCATCGTTAAACGGCAGCAATTAGAGACTTCATCTACTTCCCCAGTTTCCTTGTGACATTTCTATTGTTTACCCTTAATAAACCAGGAGAGCGGCTTGGCGCGATTAAAGCTGGATGGAGTGGGCAGCGAAAGGGGAGTGGACGAGGGAGGAGGAAAGTGCAGGAAACTCGGGAAAAGGAGCAACTTGGGTTCAGTGTCGGAAGAGAAAGGATTGTTTTTTCCTTTGGGTACGCCGTTGCCCCTGGGAACCCGCGCTTTTGTCCTCTGTTGAAAGACCTGTGTTCAGAACACCGTGGGTGCCGACAGGTGGGCTTAGCACGCAGGTGAGGAGTCCTTGCTTTGCAAAGAAGGGGGAACTTTGAAAAAAACGTGTTTTGATAACTGATCACCTTCAAGTGAGCGCTGACTTAAAAAACAATTTTAAAGAGTTTTTAAGAGAAGCTTCTAGGCATAGTCTGCCTCCAAGTCTCCTGGTCCATCTCTCTTCCTTGCTGGAGTATCAGGTGGGATAGTACTGGAAATCTCACTGCGGGTTCCCAAACTCTGCAGATAAACGGTTTTTTTCTCACCTGCATGGGAATTGCGCTTAAGAGACAGATGTCCGAGTTCCCTGGAAAGGAGGAGGAATGACAGGGGAAAAAGCCACAGTTTAGTCTGTCTTATGTAACTTCAGCCCAACCTAATTTTGTGGAGTTTGGTTTTGTTTATGTGGCTGGCTTCAAAGTATGTTTAACACTTGTGAACTTGACACGGAAGATTAACTTATGCCAGAACTTTATTTCTTTATTTCCTTTTGAGGCAATCATTGTTGGGATGTTTCAGAAGAGCAGCATGTGAGTGGGCCTGGAGAGGGTTTGTGTTCTTAGCTGGAAGTGCAGAGCACTCTAGAGCCAGAAGGATTGATCCCCTGGACTGTGGTAGAGCCATAGGCTCTGTGTAAATGCATTGCCAGTCGTCTGTGCCCTGCCTCTTTGTAATGCTTTTTCAGGAGACAGTAGGGACAACATAAGTGCTGCTTACTCAGCAGTTATTTGTGCACCTACTATGTGCCAGCGCTGTTGAGGGATTGGGGATGCAACCGGGAACTGGCAGCTTTCATTTTAGTGTGGACTGACAGGTATAAGCTGAAAGAAACATGAATAAAATGAATAATAAATGACAGTTTCAGATGTTGCCACATTCTCAATACAAGTTCATTAACGTTAGAGCATGGCGGTTGTAGAAGGTATTGCTTTCTTCAGCTAGGTCAGACAAGGTTTCTCTGAGGAAATAAAATGTGAATAGAAATTGCCAGTCTGGTTTTTGTATACTTGAATTATGGTCTTTTTTTTTTTTGAAAGGGGGTTTCAGACTCTGCAATATTGAACATGTTGAAGAATGAAGGTGAAATAGTGACCAAGTAGGTAGATTATAAGGAGGCCCTTCAAATAAATTGTATTCTACCTTTAAGACTGGAGCCATCCCTCTTAAAACAACATTCAAAGTTGATAGAATTACTATCAACTTTGCATGTCTGATCCTCTAGGAAATAAATATTGGTAAAGAGAGGATGTCTAGGGAATTTTCTTCTTAATAAAATTATTCTTGAGGTAAAAAAATGCCCAACATTTGATATTGATAGAATTGTTTTCTTTCTTGTAAGACACATGTTTTTGTTTTATTTGTTGTGTGAATGTTCTTTTTGCTGCCCCCTGAATTTTCTGGTGAAATTTGCTCCAGAGAGCAATCTGAAAAGTAGATAGATGTCTGTATCCAGATACAAATACTTCTGCTTTTTTTTTTTACTCCAGAGAGCAATCTGAAAAGTAGATAGATGTCTGTATCCAGATACAAATACTTCTGCTTTGTGTATGGATTTTCATGTATTACACAGTTTTAAGAGAATACCAAGTAGTTAGGATTTTAGTGGGGTCATCACTTTCTGCGAGGGTTAGTGGAATTTAAATTATTTCATAATTCGAACCAGTTGATGTATCATAGTTATGACTACTACTTAATTGAAGGTGGAGAAAATGATTAGCCTAAACATGGGGTCTTTTTTTGTCATTAATCTTATCTAATATCTAAAGTGGCTCAGAATTTGAGTGGCAGTTTGGCATAGTGGGGAGAGCATTCATTTACAGTTAGGGACCGATTCAAGTCTTGCTCTGTTGCTCACCAGTTGTATGATTAGGGCTCAGTTCCTCCCTCTCTCTATTTCTTCAGCATAACAAAAAAATGCAAAAACTGCAAGAGCCTTTCCTGGTCTATACTCTGTAATTCTGTATGTTGGCTCAGATGTGAAAAATGTATAGTTAAGTTGTAAATTCTAAGAAACTTGACATTTGTCAAGTTTTTTTATATTCTTAAAGTGATGGTGCTAGAATTCAAATAGGCACACATCCTGTGTCATAATAGCAGAGAAAACCAATGCTGTGATTGCTGTGATTTTGAAGTTAGAGATGCACGAATAGGCTTAAGAAAGTTGCAGTGGCTTGTGTGTGTTTGATTCACTGGTGTTAGATTTTGCACAGGAGCATCTTAGTGATGAGTGTTCTAAGGCAGGATGTTTTGAAGTTAAGCTTTGTAGAGTGGAAGAACAAGCATGTGGGAGAGAGAATCTGGCAGTAGAACTTAGTACAGGAAAGGCCCTAAGATGTAACGGTCCATGTTCAGCCTCTTTATTTCATTCATGAAGAAACTGGGCCTCTTGGAAAGAGGGAGGTTTGTTCAAATTCACAGTTGCTCTGGGCTGAGCTGGATCACTGTAGATAGTTTCCTCTCTGAGGTGGACTCCAACTGTGCTGTCACCTCCTCAGAGCCCTTTCTGAACCCAGTTTGAAGCATGCAGCTCTCTTGGTGACTAATGGCCCATCATAGTTTTTGAAAAAATATTGCTTATTCTCTTAGTTTTCCTTATCACCCAGTTGAATGGATGATGTAAGATTTTATATTTCATTTGATGCTTCACAAAATATATTTTTACTGGCTCTCTCAACCAAGGGCTCTTAACCTGGGGTCCACAGATGGAATTCAGGGAATCCACAAACTTGGACAGGGGAAAATACGTCTTTATTTTCATGATAGTCAAACTGAAATTTAGCATTTCACTCAGTTATGAGTGTAGGCAACAGAAAGACCTGCTGCTGGATTTGTTACTCAGTGCTTTAATAGGAAGTGTATGTGTGGGTTGGGGATGTAGCTCAGTGGTAGAGGGCTTCCCTAGCTTTGATTCCCAGCACCACAGAAACAAACAAAACTCCCAGAAGTATATGTGTGATTATTTCCCAATTTAAATCTGTTTTGATAACTAATTAGAACTGATTTCATTGTGATCCTTTGTATTGTATTTTATGCGTTGAAAAACATTGCTCTGAGCAGGAATCAGTAGGCTTCACCAGACTGCTAAAGGGATCCCTGGCCCAAGAAGAGGTTAAAAACCTCTGCAGATGAAGGCTTGCAAGTATGACTGAAAAGTGAAATATCTCAGTGAAAACTGATTAAGTGCTATAATGGCAGTGTGTGGGGGGAGCGGTACCCATCTCTTTTCCCTTGGGTACTGCAGCCATTCTGTCAGATAAGACAAAGGGGACTATTGCTTGAAGAGTCTTTTTATTTGGTCTTTTTAAAGCAGATCCCAGTTTCTATTTGTTTTTTTTGTGCTGTATGCTTGGGTCTTTGCTGTGATGACTCCAACCTTGGTAGTAATAAGGAACCTTAAAATACACCCTGGAACTTTTCCTTTTCTCATCCTCCACTCTAATTTGGGCCCAAAGATGTCAAACACTGCTATCTTTTATAGACTAAAAAGTCTTTGAACTTCTTTTTAAAATAAAACAAGATCTCTGCTATCACTCAGCACATGGAGTGATGTGTTTTTGTGGGCAGAGTGTCTGATCTGAGGCTATTAAGGGTTCTGAGGTCCCTGGCTTTGAGTTGCTATATTTTCCTTTACTAACTTTAGCCTTGCTTGGAGTATGTGGCTTTGTGACTTCTGGTCTGGCTTTCTCAGATTTATTTGTTTCTCTGTTTACCACACCAAGACTGAAACCTTTATTTGGACTTTCCATTTTTGGTTGTATTTTGTCATGTGATCATTATTTGGGAATGTTTTATATAAACAAAAATAAAACACACTTGACCAGGTCCCAACAACTTTACCAAACATTTTATACAAAAACTAAAACAGACAAAAGAGACCAAAATACAATTTAACAGTTGCAGTATTTGAGGGAGCCTGATACTGCCCTAGAGCTGTGGCTGTGGAGTTCTCCTTAGGGCTTGCAGTGGGCCTCTCTGAGATGAGAACATGGGGTTGTAGGTTGGTTTTTTTGAATGGAGACAGCAGCAACTGGTGGA